AACCAGAATTAATGGTAGCAGTCTTTGTATTTAAACCAGGATGATAAAAACAATGCTGTATGAACCAGGTGATGGTAAACAGTCTGTGAATGAACCAGGATCATGTACAGTCTTAGTATGAACCAGGATGATTGTAACAGTCTTTGTAATGACCTGAATGATGGTAACAGTCTTCGTATGAACCAGATGATGGTAGCAGTCTTGTATGTAACAGGAGATAGTAACCGTCTTTGTAGAACAGAAATGATGGTAGCAGTCTTTGTATTAACCAGGATGATATTACATTCTTTGTATGAACCAGTGTGATGGTAGCAGTTTTCTATGAACGGATGAGGACATCAGTCTTTGTATTGAACCAGGTTTGATGGCAACAACAGTTTTTGGAATGAACCAGGATCATGGTAAACAGTCTTAGTATGAACCAGGATGATAGTAACAGTCTTTCTATGAACAAGAATGATGGTAACAGTCTTTGTATGAACCAGGATGATGGTAACAGTCTTTGTATGAAGCAGAATGATGGTAACAGTCTTTGCATGAACCATAATGATGGTAACAGTCTTTGTATGATCCAGAGTGACAGTAACAGTCTTTGTATGAATCAGAATGATGGTAACAGTCTTTGTATGAATCAGGTTGATGGTAGCAGTCTTTGTATGAACCAGAATAATGGTAGCAGTCTTTGTATGAACCAGGATGATAAAAACATGCTTTGTATGAACCAGGATGATGGTAACAGTCTTTGAATGAACCAGGATCATGGTAACAGTCTTAGTATGAACCAGGATGATAGTAACAGTCTTTGTATGAACCAGAATGATGGTAACAGTCTTTGTATGAACCAGGATGATGGTAACAGTCTTTGTATGAACCAGGATGATGGCAACAGTCTTTGTATGAACCAGGATGATGGTAACAGCCTTCGTATGAACCACGATGATGGTAGCAATCTTTGTATGAACCAGGATGATGTTAGAAGTCTTTGTATGAACCAGGTTGATGGTAGCAGTCTTTGTATGAACCAGGATGATGGTAGCAATCTTTGTATGAACCAGGATGATGGCAGTAGTCTTTGTATGAACCAGGATGATGGTAGCAGTCTTTGTATGAACCAGGATGATGGTAGCAGTCTTTGTATGAACCAGGATGATGGTAGCAGTCTTCGTATGAGCCAGGATGATGGTAACAGTCTTTGTATGAACCAGGATGATGGTAGCAGTCTTTGTATGAACCAGTGTTACTGTTCGAATCTTAATCTTTAGCCAGGTTAGTGCACACCGTAAGAATACACTTCACAGAATGAGAAGATTCTTCCAAACTTATAAATGTAAGACACAAATAATAGTTACTCAGTCTTTTCTAGTTTATTTTTATTTAGATATTCATAAATATCTATTAAATATCACTTCGTCAGAAACTTTCATTCACATAAGAAAATACTTAAATAGAATGTACATCACAGACCCCCTTCTATATGGTCACTACACTTGTTAAATAATCAGAGGAATATTACTGCTTCCTCAATAATGACATTACTTGTACACGAGTATATACATTGAGAATGGACACCTTCACTGAGTAACTCCCTGGCATAAGGAATATATCACTTAAAGTTCTGAACTTGACACAGGTCGTCACATCGTAAACTGAGGGTAACAGTAAGTAACTCTCCGCAGACTTCACTTCAGAATAAACCTCAAGCTGGTTCAGGAGTTTCTACAACAGAATTCTCTATCGAAGTGAGAATAAGGCTGAGTACTAGAGGGGTAGCTCAGTCAATGCACACTGAGTCGGCAGAGAGAGCGAACTGAACTGACACAGTTCCTGACATAACATCAACTCGCCAAAAAGGAGAGGGAAGAGTAGGCTAAACTACCTACAGGACATACCTCTCTT